GGAGAAAGACAGTGTGGGGACAATCGAATTTACCTGGTGATGGCCAAAGAGCACACTCATGGTGGTTAAACTTCTACAACATTGCTGGGCAAGAAGACAGTGGACAGAGAGAGAGCATGAGGGAGAGAAGTTGGAGGTGTATAGCGAGAGAGTACGAGAGTAGTATAGGTGGTCAGATCATAGTAGAGGTGCTACAATGTGGTTGGATTGATGAGTGGAGGCAGGAAGTTGGACTTTCTTTAGGAAGAGACTTCAGTGCCAGTGTGTTCTTGTTTGATGCGCTCTCGGCTTTGTGCTTTCGACTTTGCTCATATATGTTGGTGCTGCTTTTAAGTTTTTTGCAGCTCGGGAAAATTGTGTTTCCATTGATTAGCTCATTGCCGCTATTGTCTCCATGGACTTCGAAATAGCTTACGATCATATGGACTGTTTTTTTTTATAGACAAGTGTTCGAAAATAAAACTTTGAAGTTTGACCCAACTTTCAGACGTTGGGTGAGTATCTTACATAAAAACGCCACCAGTAGGGTTCAAGTCAATGACTCTATGACCCGCCAGCTCCCTCTCCAACGATCAGTTAGGTAGGGAGACCCTATTGCGCCCTTCCTCTTTCTCGTCATAATGGAGGCGCTGTCGGCGAACCTTAGGCATAACAAAGACATCAAAAGGATTAGGTTCGCCAGGATCCCGGAAGAGGTTGTCCCAGTCTGCTCTGTCTTTGTGGACGACCTTACTCTTATAATGGAGGCATGTATCCGTAATATAAAGGAAGTGCAAGCCTTGATAGATTGTTTTTGCCGACTGTCGAATACGGCGGTGAACTGGGTCAGAAGATAGTAGGGTGGTGGTTGCACCACCAAGTAGGAAGGCCCCCAGAAAGTCCGCACATCTCGTGGCTCCCATTGGAAGCTCCCCTTCGGGTCTTGGGGGCGTCATTGACACCACTTGGGAAGCCTACAATGAATGATGAATGGATCAGTGGTCTGACTCAGGGTAAACTTGCAGACTGGAACAACAAACACACATCTATCTTCGGCCGGCCCCTGGTCATCAACAACATCGGGCTGGCTGCGATATGGTATAAGTTCGTTGTATGCCCCCTGAGCAACAGTTTGCAACATTTCTCTGGAGGGGGAACAACAGGAGCCCCAATGTGATTGGCTGAGTGGCATGGGATACTGTGATCCAGCCCAAAGCGAGAGGGGGGCTGTGACGAGGCAGAGGCAGAGGCAGAGTAGCGAGGCTGAGGGAGAGAGAGGAGAGGGTGAAAGCACACACGCACACTCACTCAACTCGACGCACACTCGACAAGACTCGACGGACGCATACACGAAGTGGCGAAGTCGCAAAGTCGCAGTCTTTGATTCCCGAACACAATGTCGAAGCAAGTCACACTGAAGGCACTGAGGCCGAAAACTGAATGCCCGTACTAGGCTTGAGTCTGGTCTTAGGTACCGGACTCAAGTTCAGTCCGGAGGGCAGAAGTGCCATTGCCTCAGGACTGATCTAAGAATCGAAAGTCAGTCTGGGCGCCAGAATGTCGGATGGCGCCAAATGTCGAAATCCGAAAGTGCCAAAGGAGGGATTTGAAAACGGGCGCCAACTGCAGAGGGCGCCAACAGTCAGAAACCGAAGAGCAGGAAATAAAAATAAAATAAAATAGCAAGCTGGCGGGTGGTACCCCACGAACCAGGGATCGAGCCCTGGCTGAGTCCGTAACACTATCCCCTCCCTCTAGAAGGCAACGTCCCGGCTGCCAAAAGCCATGAAACAATGCTGAAGTCTGTGAAGGACGTGACGGGGCCGATCACTGGTCAACATGTCAAACGGAAGAGGGGTATAATGTGGGCGGCCTGGGTCGGGAGTAAGAGGGAACAGGGTTATCCTATCAACGAGCTAAGGGGTTTTGCAAGGTATTTCTACTGATGTGCTAATGGGGTTAGGAAGCACAGGGAATAGGGTAATCCTACTGATGAACTAAGGGGTTGGAAACAACGGGGAAACAAGGTAATTCTACTGATGAACTAGGAGGTTCAGGGCAAAACAGGTTATGTGGTCCTTAAAAACAGGAAATTTGGCTTGCGATGTACAGGGCGGGGCTGCTGAGGGTCGGGGATTTAGTGGTACAGGTTGAAAGTTCTGTGCAGCAGTCCATGTAGATGTCTTGAGAACAGGTCTTGAAAGGTGTCGCAGAAGTGTCGCTGAGAAAGCAGTCTTCAACAAGTCTGTGATGTGGACGGCGAGAGCTTCAGCTGGAATGTCCCAGTAGCGGGATGCGTCCGGTACTCGGATCTGGTGTTGAGGTCTGATCCGGATAGCAGGTCGCAGACTGATCTTGATGTCCCTGTCAGAGGTGCTGCTCCAGAAGTCTGCGAGTCCAAGGTGCCGGCCAAAGGGAACAGCATGGTGGCCAACCAACTGCCTTATCTCCTTGTACTGAGTTGCAGTATGCCATGGTCCTCGTGCGCTTGCCATTACATCCATTATCACCGGCGGCGCGCAGGGGCCATATAGGGAACTTGGACAAGAGGGATAAGGATGTGGCGGATGACAGATGGGAGAAGGGGGCAAGACGGAGGCAAGAGCGGATCAGACAGCGGGAGGTAAAGGGGCAAGGGCTTTGCTGGGGACAGGGGTGTGTGTAGAGCAGGAATGCGGGGGTTTGGCGGGGTCAAGGCGGGGCTTATGCAGGGGTTTAAGGGAGATGTATCTAGGATATAGGGTGAGCGCGATCATAGGCACGAACAAGTTTCATAGCGTTCTTGAGATTAGAGAAAGGTTCCCATGTAGATTCTTCATCGGGGTATCCGGTCCATTTGACTTTGAATTCTTTGATAGGTTCCGGATGGTCTAATACCAGTGTAGTTCTCGTCCTATGATGGATTCTACTACGAATTCCGGGCTTGTGGGAAGCATGATTGGTGGAAGTCGGGAGTAAGGTCGGTCAGCAAATTGAGGTGGGGATTCATGATACTTTTTTAGGTATTCTATGTGGAAAACAGGGTGGACACGACTCATGTCCGAGGGGAGTTGGAGTTTGTAGTCGACATCGAAGGTTTTTTCAATGATGAGGAAGGGTCTAAGCCATTTGTTCGAGAGTTTCTTTGACAACCCATGTTCGGGTTCAAAGCGTTTGGTGGAGAGCCAGACTTTGTCCCCTACTTTGAATTGCAAGTCTCGTCTGTGTTCGTTAATCTTGTTTGCTTGTTGTTCTTGTGTTCTTTCAAGGGTTTCGGTTGCTTCTCTGAGGAGTCGATTCATTGTTGCTACCCATTCATTGAGGGAAGGGCAGGGTGTGGAGGGATTGAGCTGCGACGGAAGCAGGAAGTCGGAGGGCAAGCGAGGATGGTAGCCAAGGTCGAGGTAAAACGGGGAGATGCCAGTGGAAGGGCAGACGGCATTGTTATAGCCGATCTTGGCGGCAGTGAGCAACTGGTCACAGTCGTGTTGGTGTGGATGACAATACTTCCGCAGGATTCTTTGGAGAGTATCGTTCATCTTCTCGGTTTGTCCATCGGTCTGGGGATGGAATGCAGTGCTATACCTGAGCGTGATTCCATATGCTTTGAAGAGGTGTTTCCAGAATTGTGAGAGGAAGCGGGGATCACGATCACTGATGATGTTCTCTGGGAGGCCGTGATGGCGTGCAACATGATCGAAGAAGAGGGTGGCGACGTCTTTGGCACTGTGCGAAGTCGTGCAAGGAATGAAGTGGGCACATTTGGTCAAGCGGCAGACACTTACGTAGATGCAATCATGCCCCCGGTCGGTCTTGGGGAGGCCACGAAGTCCATGGAGATGGACTGCCACCGGTGAGTTGGGATGGGCAATGATTGAAGCTTGTCGGGTTTGGCCCGGTTCGAAGGGTTGACAGCTTGACACATGGGGCATGAGCGAATGTATGCTTTGACGTCACGAGCAGGGAAGGCCAGTAGAAGTAGCGGCAGATGGTGTCGAAGGTTTTCTGGAAACTGAGGTATCCTGCGGTCTTGGTGTCGTGATGCTCGTCCAAGAGTTGAGTACGGAGACCACGTGCGTCGGGGATGCAAAGTCAGCGAGTGCCTTTGGTATCGATGTAGAGAAGGTTATCGTGAAGGGAGTAGTCGGGGACTGGGTCAAGATCGCGGAGCTTTTTGTAGATAGTGGCGAAGTCTAGGCAAGAGAGGTAGCCCTGGGTGTATCGGTGATGGAGTGATGGGAGGAGTTGGATATGAGTCATGGCGATGTAGACTTTCTCGGGGGGCTTGTGGTCGGGTCGTCGAGAGAGGGCATCCGCAACGCAGTTGCTTTTGCTGGGGGTACGGCAAATGATGAATGTGAACTGGGCAAGGAAGTCTAGCTAGTGGGCTTGGCATGGAGTGATATCTTTCTTGGAGAGGATGAAGGAGACGATGATGTTGTCAGTGCGGATGGTGAAGTATTGCCCGTCGAGGTACTTGCGCCACACTGTGAGGGCGTGAATCACAACGAGGGGTTCCTTCTCGTTGGTGGGGTAATTCATCTCCGCGGGAAGGAGTTTCTTGCTTGCGAAGGCGATGGGGTGTTCACCGGGTGAAGCCTTGGGGTGAGTGGGCGGGTCCTTGATGGAGGGGGTCTCGGCGGTGTCGCGGGGGAAATGTTGGGACAGTACGGCTCCGATGGCGAAGTCTGAGGCGTCAGTGGTGACATAGAAATGGCGAGTGGGGTTGGCAATCTTGAGGACAGGAGCCGTGGTGATGGTTTGCTCAAGTCGAAAGCATGTTGGCAGTTATCGTTCCAATTGAAGGGTTCGTCCTTGCGGGTGAGTTTGTGGAGAGGGTAAGAGATCTCCGAAAAGTTGTGAATGAACGGGCGGTAATAATTGGCAAGGCCGAGGGAGGAACGAAGTTGGAGGAGGGTCTTGGGCGGGGGGTACTCGACGAGGGCTGTGACCTTCGAGGGGTCCATACGGATGCCTTCAGCGGAGACAATGTGGTTGAGTTATTCGATGCTCGAAGCTACAAACGTACATTTGTTGAGCTTGGCGTATAATTTATACTCTCGGAGGATCGAGAGGACTTGGCGAATATGCTGGAGGTGGGACTCGACGGTGGGGCTAAAGATGAGGATGTCATCAAGGTACATGACGACACAGACTTCGAGGAGGTCACGGGAGATGTGATTCATGGTGGACTGGAATGTGGCGGGGGCATTGGTGAGTCGGAAAGGCATTACGAGGAACTCATAGTGCCCGAACCGAGAGCGGAATGCGGTCTTATGGATGTCCTCCTCGCGGATACGGATCTGGTGGAAGCCACTGGAAAGGTCAATCTTGGTGAAATATTTGGCTCCACGAAGTCGTTTTCAAGGAGCTCATTGAGTTGCCGCTTCATTTCTTCGGTTTCGTGGACCGAGAGTTGGTATGGAGGGCGGCACGGTGGAGAATGTCCGGGCTCCAAATCGATGGTATGGGATACACCACGATCCGGAGGTAATCCGGCAGGCAGGGACTTAGGGAAGACGTCCTTGAACTCGTCGAGGATAGAGGTGAGGGCGGGGTCAGAGGGGAGGGTTTGATCGGTTTTGTCCGTTGGGAGTAAGTCCTCGGGATTTTCGCGGTCAAGGAGAAAGCAATAGTAGGCGAAGTTGGGGTTCATGCGGGCCATGTGGAGGAATTGATGCGGGGTCACAGAGCTTTGGGAGGTCCGATATGGGAGATAGGGAATGTCGATGGTTGTGTCGGGGGGTTGGTGAGGCGAAGAAAGTTGGGGTGGAATGCGTATGGCATGTAGCGGTCCAGCCACGGTGTTCCTAAGACGATGTCGCACATCAAATGCATAACATCAAATGAGACCTGACTGCGGAGGGTTCCTACTGTCATGGTGGTCTCTGGAACCATGCGGTCCACTACGACAGCGGTGTCTCTGTCCCCTAGACGGATCGTAATCGGGGAGTCGTAACTGGTAGAGGTAAGACCGGCTTTCCGGACACACACATCGGTGATGAAGTTACCGGTGGCTCCTATGTCGAGGAGGGGCAAATAGCTGACGACATCAAAGGGGATATGTTGACGAAGCAAGCGGACGTATTGCACAAAACAGTCGGTTGACCCGTTTTGTTGGAGCCGACAGAATTGGTCGATATAGTTGTCGACCGTTTTCTGTGGGCGGAAGGTGGAGGTGATGAGGGTGGCCCACTCAAGGAAGGTGTGAGGCCGGAGACCGGCGTGATGACGATTAGACAGTTTGGTGTACCACCAACGACCAGTGTTGTCTAGAAGTTGACCGCTAGCGATGGAGAGCCAGTGGATGACAGGGATGCCGTGCAGGGTTGTCACCCGGGGACCCCGGGGGCAAAGCCGGGGCCGAGATTTCACCCCCGGACCCCCTCCTGTGGGGGTGATAACCCCCGGTTCCCGCTGAAGACCCCCGCACCCGCCTGACCCCCGACACCCCCGCGGGACCCCGGCCCCAACACCCAGCGCCCCGGCCCTGGCCCCGGGACCCCCGCCGACCCTGGCCCCGGACCCCC